ATATATAATACTGAGGTTTTTTTATATCTAGAAATATATATAAAATATATATGTATAAATAAGAGGAAAACGGAAGAAAATGCTCTTAAAGCTGTTCAGTCGCTGTCAACACTAAATATATAATTATTATTTTTATAGTAATCAAGGCACTATTAATGTGGACATAGCATCAAAGATGACTGCTACTTTATTTTTTCATTTTGCCTGCTCATGATGTGCTGAACAGTATTATGTGGGAATATCATGGCATTGTCTTCCTAACAGTTAATATGTAATAAGAAAAACTAGCCTGTAGTATAAATATTTCTTCCCTGTTCTCCTGCAAATGTAGCATGGCTCCATCTCCCACTCTCTCAACTCAAAAGAAAAATCGAAAACAGCTATTGTTACTATTGAGGTGGATTTTTTGTCATTTTTCAAGTTAGCTGTTCTGAGCAACAGAGAAGAAATGTCTATTTTTTTGGTCTTCTTTAACTCACTTAGAGATTTGCATTGTCTCCACTAGCATCTCTGTGTGATGCCTTTCTCCTCAATTAAAATTTTAAAAGAAGTGCTAGACATAAAGAGGTAAAGATGTTGTAGAAAATGTTTTGGAAATTCTGTATAATTTAAGTACAAAGCAGTTTAAATGAAGGAGTTGATATTTCAAGTATGTTTCCAATTAATACAGAAGTGCATAAGAATCAATAGTTTACATGCATGTATGGCTACTTCTGTTTTTATCCTCTGTGTAAGAGAAGGGCTGCTCCTTTACATAAAGACTGGCTTTTTCTCATGTTTAATATAAATGACCCATTGATGTAGGGTGACATTCGAGCATCTGCCTAAAGCTGTCATCTACAGACCTCTGGCTTTGTAAGGTTGCCGCTATTTTCTTTCCTTAAAAGGTTGTGCCCATCACTGTTTGTCAGAGGATACAAGAAGAGGTCACATGTCTGTCCAAAGTCTAAAAAGCATAAAATTTGAAATTCTGGATAAATTTTCCTTCATTTTTGAGTCAGTATTTGATTTTTAAAACCTATATTTAAAGGGTTTCACAGTACTGAACAGCTTTGTTTACTTGCTTCACAAAATATCTGCAAGGAAGAACTCTTCTTTAAGCTAAGTCATTGTACTAAAGAACCACTGCTGTACACTTGTTTCTGCTGTCAGTTGAAATTCCTTCCTTGAATGTACACAGCTGTAAAATCTCAGGCCTATTGTACCATTTCATAAAGATATTATTTTGCATGGTATTTAATTGAGACTACCCCAGTGGCCACCAGTAAAACTGCTTTTTGTGTCAGACAGCAGTGCTGCAGTATGGTACTTATCTGACTAAGTGGTTCAAACTCCTCAGTATCCTAAAAAAATTAAATTGTTCTGTCTAAATAAGGGGTAAATTAATAAGACAGAGGAATAAGTTTTGTGCTTCAGTCATGAAATTGGCTCAATGCATTTGGTAATGTATTGTTTGTATTAAAGAATCTGCTTAACAGAGTCTCATGTTTTTAACCAGTCACTTAATATGAGCATCATAGTTGTAATGAAAGGTTGATTTCATGTAGTCTTGATCCCTGGTAAGAAGACAACTTTTAGTATTAAACTGTGTTAATAGTATTAAACTGCAGTATATGCAGGCTTTGCTGAAATAATGCAGCTTGCATTAACCTTTTGCATTGTGGTCACAGAGAAATGAAAAATATGCCCTGAGGTATAAAAATACAATAAAATACTGCCTATTTCAAGTACTTGTAATACTTGGAGTGAATTGGTGTAACCACTAACCTTAGTGACCTAACTCCTGAGTTTGCATTTTGAATGGCACTTCAGCAGCCTTTAGTAGCATTTGAAACTTGAAAGTAATTAACTGTTCTTTCAGCATGGCTAAGTAAATGCCTTAGGATGCTTTATAAAAGTTCCATTTCATGTCTTGGTTCACAAAACAGCCTAATGATTTAAATTGATGCTAAATCATTTTTAGTCAAGTCAGAAGTGTTTCTAGACGTGCTATCGCCGTATGAAGCCATAGTTTATATACTTCAGGAATAGAAATAGTTTCAATAAAACTGCAGTATGTTTCTAACCCAGTGATGACATCAGTTTGCCAGATAGTGTTACTGACATAAAACAGTGTTTTCCCTACTGATTGGAAAATGTAAACAATATTCTTTATGTACTGGAATGTACCACAGTATCTTAAGCTATTTTTATGCCTATTACAATTAGTAATAATGAGTAAATATCTTTGAATACATTCCAGTTTGTTGTCCCCTCTATCATGTTCTTCATGATAGTAATCAATGAGGTTTTCTTAAGGTGAAATTCTATATTGATGGTGCCTGTGTTTGCTGTTTTGTAATGTCATATTTCAGCATTTGCTAACAGATTGCGCAGATCGAAGCTTGCATGCAAGTGGTACAGTGCTAATTAGAAACACCATCTATCTGAGGTATAGCTAATCTTCAATGTACTTAGTGCTCTGAGTTACTTTCTGTAAATGCAAAAAGGTAGGATCCTGTAGGATAATTGCATGTTTGTTAAAATAGCAATTCTGCTATTTCTCAGGAAATACTGACTTATTTCCAGAGTTCCTTTCTGCCTTTTGCTTGATTCTTTTATGTTCTTTGCATTAACTGTGACTTTGAAGTCCTTGAGAAAATGCTGAAATATATAAATTCAGCTTCTTGTCTGTTTGACTACCTGTATCTCAACACACAGGGAAATGGTTAGCAGAAGAGGATAAATCTGAATCTACAGCTTAGGGAAGACAGATGTTCTGTGTTCATTACATATTCTGTGTAGCCTTAAAGAAAGTGGTAGTGTTTGCTGATAGATATGTTAAGAATATTGGATCAAACAGTGCCTTATTGCAGTGGCCTGGTTTCATTCTACTTGAATATATTTAACCAATGGGAAGGTGAATTTTATGTAGATGTGATACATGATGCAGCTGAGTAATTTAACCAATAGGAAAAAAATTAATTCAATATTTGACTTTAAAAAGAAATGTTGTCTTCAAATTACTTCTGCAGTCTAATTTAAAATGAGGTGCCCATCATATGATAAATAAAAGTGGTTTTAAAATTTTGATCGCTCTTAAAATTTAGAATCTAGACTATCAGGATATCACATACATGCTTCCTCTGTGATAGAGAGTACTGCTACTGTGTGGTACTTAGTGAAAGTAAACCATTAACTGAAGTAGAATCAGAATCCTAGTAAAAGCTCAAGAAATCCTCCACCTTTCATTAAGAAGTTCTTTCATTTTAACCAGGGTATAGGTCTTGAAAAATAACTGTAGTTATTCTTCTTAGACAGAAGTTGGAAAATATGAAGCCCCATAGTTAACTACAAGAAAAATAATGAATAAAAGTCTCATTTTGCTTTCATGCAGAAAGAAATGTTCTGGTTATGTCTAAGGAGAGACTACAATATCAATTTTAGCTTAGAAATGTTAGTTTTGAGTAGGATTAATATTTACATTCAGTAAGAACTGTATTTTGATAAGAAAACCTGAGATTATCTTTCTTTTTAAATTGGAAGTTAAGTTACCATGTAATGTCCAGTGATTTGAATTCCGTTTGCACCTGGTTTGATGTTATGTGGTATGTTGGAGTGGGATCCGGACCTGGAGTAACGATGAGTCTCAATATGAGTATGGTCGTTCTCCTCCATTCTTAGTACTTACAACATATATATAGACATTTACCCAGAGTACGCGAGCGCAGCGGATACATGATTGGTTTATTGCCCTTGTCCCAGTGTCCAGGTTAAACTTATGATTGGAGCAAGCAGGTGTCTGTCCACATTCCAGGATGTTTTCAGGAATACCAGGGAGCTTGTTGACACTGGACTCAGAGCCGGTCAGAGCCAGCTCTGCCAGGCAGAGCTCGCTCCTTATCAGCAGTTCAAGGCTAAGCCACAGCCGCTGCAGGCCTTACACCACACTACAAGCTGGGTTGTCAGCTTCAAGGAAATCATGTCTCTTTTCGCATAGCCATTCCTCCACAGTGGTATAAACCAAAAGATTCATGTTAAAATCTCAAAATGCATAAGCAAAAGAGTTCACATATTGCAGTTTATTGAAAATAAGTCAATCCATAGTGGTGATTTCTTCATAACCATATTTTTATCTAATCTTCAGCTTTAATGTAGTACAAACCCCATTGCTTATTTGAATGTTTTAGAAGCAGTAAAAAGCCAGTATAATAATTTCTTGTTGTTGTAACTTACTTTGTTTCAGAGCCACCAGTTCCCATTGCTCCACCTCAGCTGTCCTCAGTTGGTGCAACTTACCTGTGGATACAGTTGAATGCCAATTCCATCAATGGGGATGGGCCCATTATTCAAAGAGAAGTTGAGTATCGAACTTCAAGTGGAAGCTGGTATGACATACAACCTGTGGACTCCACAAGCTATAAGATTGGGCACCTGGATCCTGATACAGAATATGAAATCAGTGTATTGCTTACAAGACCAGGTGAAGGAGGAACTGGATCTCCCGGCCCAGCTCTCAAAACAAGAACAAAATGTGCTGGTGAGTACCCAAAAATTATAGGAAAGTTGTAAGCATCTTTCTAGGGCTGTAAAGGTAAGTTATTTCACCAGCAGTTTTTACTGTCTACCTTAAACCAGCAGGCTGCAAGAATTAAGACTGAATGCTTTTAAGTATAAGCTATTAGCATTTGCCAACTATGATGGCCTTAAAACCAGCCTTCGCTGCCGCTGTAGATTGTAGATTAAATCACAACTGGGCATGCTTTACTATCTGGTATGAACTGAGCTCTCTCCATTTCATTACACCCCTCTCTTTCTAGTATATGTTTGGGTTTCAGGTTACTTCATCATTTTTGTTTCTTTTTTTTTTCCTGGCTAGATCTGAAGCTTGGTTAAAATTTTGTTTGTTTTGGTTAAAGTTGCTGTTTTCCTTTTTTCAATGTCAGTTACATCAAACTTGTAGATAAAGTGGAATGATATTCTGTGTAACAGCAAATTCATTCACTGTTAAGTCTCAGTTAGCAGATGAGGTTTAGCAAAGAACTGCTTTCTTGAGTGACTGACAGCATGTCTTTTATTAAATGAGATAGTGTAATTTCTTGTGCTTTGTAGCAGTCTTGGCTCTTGTTTTGGATGTTTTAATTAATAGAGCTGACCTCTGAGTGTAAAAACATACAAAGTAGACCTATTATACAAAAGCAATTGTACAATAATTTTCAGTAGGAGTGGCAGTGATATTAGTTTGGGATTCAGCTGCTCAGAAAATAATAGAGGATACTGTGACCTGAATTTTTTTAGTCGTTAATATTTTCACCCAGTATTTCAAATCTTCTTTATGCCTCCGTAAAGTTCATAGAAGATAGTCAGGAGTGTACCTAGAGGAAATGGGAGCAAGCTAGTGATGTTAGCATATTGTTCCTAGTCTTTTAAAGAATGGTTTGATGTTATTTTTCTTTTTAACAGGAAAAAATTACATACTTCAACAGAAGTAAGATGTATTTCCATTGCATATGAAAGTAAAGTTACATTTTGTTAAGTCACCTGGCCACCTGTCAGTGTCTAAATAGCATTGCAGTTCATTCTAGCACAAAATGAAATATAATTGCTGTCAGAATGCCAGTGTTCTTTTGAAGATGCAAGCTTATACAAGTACTAACTCTGTGATATTATTTTGGGCTTTTTACTGCAAAGTATTTATTGAAAAATGCCAAAAGTAGTCCATTAAGTTCTAATAACAGTTAAGTATTTATTATTTACAAGATTTTCTCAACTACACTAAGATAACTTCAGCTTAGTCAAAAGTGAAGCATAAAAGTTAATTACAATTCCCTTCAGGAGGGCTTCTGGGTCACTGTGCCTTTCATAATAATGTAAAATATCTGTCTAGACAAAGTAAGTATGAGTTTAGTATGCAGGTACTTAAGTTATTTTAAAATTAAACCACTTTTTCTAATAGTTTGATCATCTCCTTATATGATGAGTTAATGCAATACTGGGTGCTATGTAAGTGAGCCTGTCTGTACCAAAGGGTTAGAGAGTGTGCTGGGTTGACACCAGTCAGCAGCCAAGTACTCATCCAGCTGCTCACCCCATCACCTCTGCCGTGGGGCAGGGAGAAAATAGAAGGAAGGCAAGAAGAGTCATGGGTTGAGATGAGGATGGTTTAACAGGTGAAGCAAAAGATGCACTTGCAAGGAAGGCAAAATAGGAAATTTATTCACTGTTTCCCATCAGCAGGCAGATGTTTAGTCAATTCCTGGGAAGTAGTGCCTTGGCACACTTACTGGTTTCTTGACAAGACAAACACTGTAACAATTAACATCCCTCCTTCCTCCTCCTTTCCTTGAGCTTTCATTTCTGGCTGTGATCATATGATATGGAACATCCCTTTGGTCAGGTGGAGTCAGCAGTCCCTGCTGTGTCCCCTCCCAGCTTCTTGTGCACCTCCAGTATACTTGCTGGGGAGGGGCAGAGCAGGAAAAAGAAAGCCTTGAGGCCGAGCAAGCACATGTAAAACACTGGTTTGTTATCAGCCTTATTTTAGTCACAAATCCAAAACACAGCACCACACAGACTGCTATGAAGGTGATTAACTCCATCTCAGTCAGACCTAGTAGAAAGTGAAATCCTGAATTTTAGTTATATTTAAGAACATCATATGCTTTCTAATCTTTTCAGTGGTACATACTGTTGAGTATTAAAACATGCATTCAGTCTCATAAACCACTATGTACAGGAAGCATTTTATTACCTGGTAACGTCTTGTAATACATCAGAATTATTTGTCTTTTCATTAAGCTAAACAGTAACCTTCTTAAATTAAAAGCATAAACTGATGGCTGACTGAAAAAATGTAAATTGAATGATGACATTAAATCTGTCTCTACAAATTGGCTTTTTTTAATAGCAGAAGATCCTGCTTTGAAGGTGTAGTGGTTATTGGTTAACTGTTAGCAAGTGACATGCTAATAACTCGCCCAAGGGTTTAAAAAGAGATGCTGATAAACTAATGACGGTATAATTAAGCTGGCTAGGAGTAAAATAATGCCAGTCTCCAAAGCATACCATAGAATTAATAAAACAGGAGTCTTTAAGAGAAGAATCATTGCACCTTTTTAATTACTGTGATAATTGTATGCTGCTTGCCTGTTCCCTAGGGGAAGATAGCAAACCACTTGGAGACTTGAAGCAGTATGCTAGGCATTCAATAATCTTAATAGTTCTCCAAAGCATTTGAAATATGTTTTCATTTTACCAAAATGAGATTTCAGAGGCTTGTAATAGACAAGTCTTATCTGTTACTTTCCTAAATAAAGGCATCTATAATTAGAATGCAAAGGAAAAATCTCTCCTGATTTGGTTGCATCACACTCAGTGGAGCAGTTACTACTTCAGAATGTGCTTTGCTTCCTTTTGATGAAATACAATGTAAATGTGAGTTGTAAATGTAATGTTTCAGTGTAATGTTCAGGAAGGCTGAAGAATTGCATTCAGGTCTGGATGGGATTTAACCTAGAACATGGAGTTCTGGTTTGAAAAAGAGGAGTTTAATGGATTTTGGTCACTGTGAACCACATTAGAGTCAGAAAAAAAGGTGTTTTCTCATTTAAAAGTGTGAAATAGAGGCCTTCCCAGGTTGTCTGGAATTTGAATCACTACTTTCTGTGCTCAAAGCTCCCTCTTCCCATATCCGTCTCATGTGGTGTTATGAGCCTAGAAGACTGCTGCTATTTAAAATAAAATGGGGACAGGGGGAGATGAGAAGAAAATTCATTGGGAAATAGATGCATGACAGGACATTTCCATTATATGGCTTGTCTCAAATTACTTGGATGTACATTTTCAGTCTGGAATAAAACAATCTGTAAAATAAGAATTCCAGAGTAGTCACCCACAGTCAGAATGCTTCACACTTCGGACACCTTCATCTGTGGAGCAAGACTGTTAGCCAGGTGTGAGGTTTGTAATGCCAGTCACTGCTACAGAGAGCAGAGTGAGCCATTGCTTGCAGTGAAATAGCTGCATAGGTGTTTGAACCAAAGAAATCACCTTGTATGTAAGCACAGAGCAGTACTTAGAGTGGCTCTGCCATGTGGGATGTAAGACATTTGAGGACCTGAAAATCAGTAGTTATTAAAAAAAACCCCTGTTATCTCAGTTATTTTACTGAAACAAACTATGTGTCTGAAAAAGTCCAGGATCAAATCTTCTCTGAATCATAGAGCATGGAATGCTTTGGTTGGAAGGGACCATAAGGATCATCTAGTTCCAACCCCCTAGTAGGGACACCTCCCACTAGCCGAGGTTGCTCAACACCTCATCCAACCTGGCCTTGAACACTTACAGGACTGGGGCACCCACAGCTTCTCTAGGCTACCTGTTCCAGTGCTTCACCACCCGCACAGTAAAGAATTTCTTCCTAACATCTAAATCTAAACCTACTCCCTTTCACTTTGAAGATGTTCTTCCTTGTCCAATCAGTACAGTTCCTGTTGAGACCCAGTCTGACCCGAAACCAGTAGGACTGTCCATAGTAAAATTTAAGTAGGAATGTTGAAGGACTGATAAGCTAAACTGTGTTTTGTAGTTTCTTCTCATCTATATCAATATTTCTGTGGGTATAATTATTTATTTCAGTGCTGTTCAGCATGTTTCATCTCTGAAATGCATTGCGTGATGCAAGTCTTGATCCAGTATGTGTCCCTTCACTCTGGTGGTGAGACAGTACCCCAGTCATAACACTCCTGAAAAATCCAAAACTGCTAAATGGACTCCTTTTCCTTCTCCTGCTCCTTTACTATTATTAAAATGAATTTCAAAGCAGTGTTGTTCCTTGAATCTGCTGCTGAACAGATACAGCTTAAAGACGGCTATCTGTGGAAGAAAAGGTAAAATAAAATCCTCTCTCCTGCTAAGGGAGGGGATTTTTAAGGCCCCCTGGGGAAAATCGTTGCCTTTTTTTATCATGTTTCTTTTTCACTGTGACATTTGGAATAATTCTATAAAATTAGCATATTTTCATTTCCTGAAACAGTAAACTCTACTGAAATTTAAGAAAGCAAAAAATAAATAAAAAGACTGCCATGAGAGAAACTTCTGATGGATTATCCCCAAACGGTGGGTTTTTTAAAATTCAGAACTGTACTTCTTTTTGTTAAGACACAATTATCGACCTAAAGTATTTGCAAAAACAGTCACTGTCAATTTAACCGATAATTTTCATTCAAAGAAGTAACAGGAATGTTTTAATTAGCATAGTTGATTTTGCTGTCTCTTCTCCCCCATCACCTGATCTTGTTAGGAGGAAAGTTGTTACTCCCAGTACAACTGAGCTCTTGAAACCCTGCTGCAGGTTAGTTGTAAAATGTCTGTTACTCCTAGAAGGCTTGTTACAATCTGGAGGAACTAAGCAGAGGAGCTCTTTAAATCTTCATTCTTGAATAATATTGTTTTTCTTTTTACTCATTTTCCTCACTGCTTTGGCATCAGCTGGATAATCTTCCAAGGTGTCAAAATTACTTCACTAGTTCTGTGAGCCCA